GTGTAAATTTCATAAAGGTAGGTGAATGACGATTCACCAATTCCACCATTAGACGAAACAAACGAAGTGAAATTCCTAATTCTTTTGAGATACATTGAAACTATTCAATGGCATGTTTTAATCTCAGATTATGCTCTTCTATTTGTGACTGGGATGCCGAGGATCACAAACAAGATGTGAATAACCATGCAAATGTGCTTGGTAACCTCATTGTCTTTATCATTAACTATTGATGTGCTGGTAAACCACACACGCTCCATCAAAATGACAATTATGAGATACCCATTACTACTCTTTATTAGTGCCCTTTAGTGTGCTGGTTAACCACACACGCTCCACTAACGACCAATAAAGCATAATGTGCAATTTCATGGATTAGCATACTTTTCACATTTTTCCTAAAGTAACTAGAGTTGGGATTTTTAAAAAAAATGTTCTAGTACTTTCTTTAATGTCATTATACTTTTAATGAGAAGTAGTTGTCCTATCAAATCCGTTCTGCTAACGACCCTCCACTAATCAAGGAAGCGGTGGGTGAGAGTGGACACCCATTCAACTACCATTTTATAGGCAGTTTCCTTATACCCCCCTTATAGATTAGCTTCGTGAATGAGGCATACTAGCGATTTGACTGACCATATTCTTATACATATATAATATTAAACTTTTAATCATAATACATATATATAGGTGTGTTTTAAAACATTTTAAAACTTCAAGGGTTTATATAAATTTCGAAATTCAAACTATTAAATTTAAATTTAAATAAACCAATTAACTAGATTTAATATTTATCTTTTAATTAACTATTAATCAAATTATTAAATCTTGTAAGGATTATCTAATTAAATTAATCAATTAATTTAATCCTAATCCTTATCCCTCTAAATTTCGAAAAATAGGGTAAGGATAATTATCCAATTAATCTAATTAAGTAACAATTATCCAAAACAAGAAACCCTAAAACTTCTAGCAATTTCGAAATTTACAAGGGAGGAGGCTAGGGTTTTCAAAACCCTAACCCTAATTTCGATTAGGGTTCTTTGGAGGCTAGGGTTTTCGAAAAAACCCTTTTATCCAAAACCCTAGAAATCGAAAATTTGGCCTTTAGGGTTTAATAGCTATAAACCCTAATTTGCAATTCAACAATTATAGCAATTCAATTTAAAACAAACAATGGCTCTGATACCACTGATGGGTTTTAGGTAAAACAAATAAACTAGAAAACAATTCCTAAGTTCACATGCAACCTACTTTGGATCTATGTTTTAACTATTGAACATATAACTTTGAATTGCAAAACAAGAACCCTAGAGGAGAGAGGCTAATTTCAAAATTAACAAACTAGGGTTTAGGAGTTACATACCTTTCAATTGTTATAGCAAACAATTGATAATCCTCTTGATCTTGATCTTGATCTTCTTGGAAGCTTAGCACCACAAATGTAATGCCTCTAATGGAATCACACCCAAGAACTAGCAAGAAGGAAACTTGGAGGAGAGAGGATGGAGAGAGTATGCAATTTCGGCCTTAGGGTTTCTTCCAAAGAAATCAGTGACCTCAAATGTGAGCCATGAGGCTCCTTAAATAGCTGAGGGATCTAGGGTTTAGGGAAAAACCCTAGTTATCCTTTGCTTAGGGCCTAAGCAAGATCCAAAGGCCTTATTTGGACCCCTTGGACGAAATCTCTAGGGTTTCCCCTAAGAATTTCGTCCACCTCCTTCCAAGGGGGTTATGGAACCTTCCACTCAACCATTAGTTAATTGCAAACTAGTCCCTGCACTTTATAATTAATTCTTTTAACCCCAAAATTAATTCTGATTAATTTCTGGCTAACTATTAATTAAACATAATGATTTCTAATTAATATATTAATCTTTTAACATATTAATAAATCATTTATATTAATTCATTAATCTTATAAATTAATATCGCTCCTTTCATAATTTCCTTGTCCAGTTGCTAGGTTGAGGGCAACCCAAAAGGACTGTGCTGCTATCAATTCAAGTACATACCAATTATAGTTATGGGCTTAGACACCTAATCCAACAATTTTGGGATGTTTCAGAATGGCTCCCGAGCAGCATCTCTCCTCACATACACCAAGATACTTCAAAGCGACTCAAACCACTCATATTTATACTATGGGGATGCTCACGTCGTGAGCATATACCTCTCACGTCGTGAGAAGTGTTTAGACCGGTTTCTGCCACGTGTCCTGCTCTTTTGCCATGTGTTTTCTCGATTCATGTTGTTTACGTCATGAGGAAACACCCCTCACATCGTGAGGAAACATCCCTCACGTCGTGAGGGTGAAAGGTTTAACCGTTGACTTGATTTTCGTTGACTTTCTCAATATAGCAGCGTACTTTTATCAAATCTTCAAACGATCATAACTTCCTCACACGGACTCCGTTTTTGATGATCCTTATATCCACGGAATCTCTCAACGAGCTCTATAACATTATTTAATCATCTTTTGCTAGATATCATTTCTAAGAATAAAGCAACTCAAGGCTTTATCTCATTTACTAAGCTCATAATATATATATTTTGTAAAATAACACCTGTTACGAAAAACCGGGTGTTACGATCCGAGAGGCTTTTCTCCAGTTGACAAGTCCACGACCACACTTCCCTACGAGAGGTTATCTGTGGCCTAACATTTAAAAATCACATAGTCCATATAATAAAGAAGTTCTTGAAAACTCACCTAAAGAGTCAAAATGAACAAAAGTGACCAAAGATCATCTAAAGCCTAGATTTATGCATGAAATCGAATTAATCAAGGATCTTTATGACTTACAATGCTTTTGGAGGATCTAGAAGGTGGAAACTTCATAGGAAAACACTTCTTCAAGCTCTACAAGCTTTCTTTTTTTACTTCAAATACATCTCAAACATAACACAATCCTCTTAAATGCACAAAGGGGCTAGGGCTACATTCTAGTGAAAGAGGCTAATGTTTAGGAGAAACCCTAAAAGTTAACACCATTATAAAGGGATTAAGGCATGCAATTTAGGGTTTTGGGCCACGACTGCTTCACATCACGACCTTTAGAAGTCACGTACGCTTTGCCAAAAACCACAACTCTTAATCTTTAAATAAATCAACGTGGATTTAACTTATACCTACAAACTAGGTGTTACATACAAATATTATAAGATATTCAAATCAAGTGTTAAAAACTTTATTACAGTCTACCTAAAAGTAGGTTAAAGGAAAAGCAATTGTTATGTTCATATAAGAAACCCTTGACTAATGACACACCGATCAATACAATAGTAAGTTAGGTGAGGCTGTACGGATTATGGAGAAGAACACGAGTTTTATCCTTAAATCTTAAGCATATATGAACAATTGTTCCATGGATCAATTATTTTACATGTCAATAAATTTAAAATTCGGAGCTCCCAAACACCAAGACCGTAAGAAATGCGGTGTTTGTTCTTCTATGGATTCAGTTCTATGATCACTTTTAATTTGACACATGAATGTTTAAAGTGAAGTTGTGTTTTAGATAGCATACCAATATATAACTGATAACATTGTGACTTTATACTATGCCAAGTAATGCAATGATAGACTTGCTCTCGACATAGTTCGTATAAAAGACGACAATGTCCTTTTCCATTTACATCATGAAAAATAGTATAGAAAGTGTAACAAATGGTTAGAACTTAGAACCATGCAATTTTTTAGAGCCAAATTTTTTTCAGATTTTTGTGAAAAGTAAAAGAGTTGAAGTAAAATCAAACTTGAGATTTTCTACGGGCACACATAAGAAACATTAGCTATGAGAAATATTTCCATAATTATATGAAATACATTAATTATATGAAATATTTCCTACTGGAGAATGTGAATTTATTAATTACGAAAAATATTATGCATAGTTAATGTGTTTCATATTTAATTATAATATTATTTTTCATAACTATTGTTTCTTATGTGTGCCTTAAGACATCTGTTAGAAAATCCTATAAAATTTTAGGATTTTTTTTATAAACTGTACGAAAATAATACGACTTTTCTGGAAGTAACCTGATAAAAAATAGTTACCGATAAAAAAAATATAGATTTGAATTTTTTATCCACAAATTAAGATTTTTTTAACAAAATAAAATTTAGGATTTTTTTTCATAATATATTTTTGAGTAAATTACACGAATGGTCCCTATGGTTTGGGGTAATTTGCACGCTTGGTCCTTAACTTATATTTTTATACTCGAAATGTCCTTACTGTTTGTTTTTGTTACGCGTTTGGTCCCTACTGTTTGTTTTTGTTACGCGTTTGGTCCCTACTGTTTGTTTTTGTTACGCGTTTGATCCATGTCTTACCTAAAAAGACTATTATTTAAATAAGGAAAAATGGTGGTGTAGGTAAGATAAGGTGAGAGGGGTGGGGTTGGGGGTGTGTTTATTTAAATAAATTAAAAAATCAAGGGCAAAATAGTCTTTTTAGGTAAGACAGAGACCAGTCGCGTAACAAAAACAAACAATAGGGAACTTCCGAGTTAAAAAAATATATTAAGGATCACATGCACAAATTACCCTAAACCATAGGGACCATTCGTGTAATTTACTCATAATTTTTTTTAGTTTCCAATGTAAGAAAAACAAAAAGAAAATCAAAGTTATTGTGTTGGTGTAACTCGTAACGGGTCTCACATACGTTTTACGAAAAAGTACGACGAGGAGTGTCTGGGGTTTAAAGCATATCACATTATTACCCGCCACCCACTTCAATTTTGTTTTAGGGTTTTACTGGTGCTCGGCGCCGGTTTTCCTCCTTTCCGGTAAAGAACAGCGCTGGTTCTTCTTAAATTCTTCTTTCAGTTTCTTAATTACTCCTTATTATGTACAATCCCTCTGTTCATTCGCCCCTTTACATGTACATTTCATCAGTTTTTTCCTTTAATTTTTTCACTTCAATCAACCTGCAGAACCACAAGTTCAAGTTCCTCTTCGTAATTATTAATTAGTGCCAAATGGAAGCATGATTAAGAATAATCGTATTCATCATAAACCGCATTTATTCAAATCCTTCTTCAAATCAATAATAAAATCATTCGCTACGAGCCCTCTTCCCCTATCAGATCCTTCAGCTGGACTTTCATTTTCTACAGTTACCCCTTGTGAAGAAGACCATAGGTCCTTGTGCTTTTCCCTTGCTGAAAACCTAATTAAACGTGGGCTTTTATCGTCTGCTCGAAGAGTTATTCAGCGTCTTATTTCACAGTCGCCTACCATCACTGATGAGATTTCCGTCATTAATTTTGCTCTCTTCCAAGGTCTGGAACCTGACTTCTCCACTTATTCTTCTCTCATTTATAGACTTGTGAATGCGGGTGAAACCCGGGTAGCTGAAAATTTGTATATTGATAGGATACTGAGACGCAGGCTTAAGCCTGACGCTCCATTGTTAAGTTCCATGACAATCTGTTATTGCAAATTAGGGAAACTCAAAGAGGAAAAGGACCATTTCCAGAAGCTTATTGGGTTGAAGTCATTTTCTATTGCAAGAGTCTGTTCCAACCTACTTCGTGAGGTGTTTGCACAAAATAGATTCTTTGATGCATATGATTACTTTGTTAGGGTTAATGATGCTGGGATTTTACTTCCTGTTTCATGTTATAATATGCTGGTTGCGGGGTTGTCATTTAGAGGGTACGTTGATGAAGCTCTCCAAGTGTTTGATACAATGCTTGAGAGAGGTGTGCCATCTGTATCTCATTTGTGGAAGTCACTTGTATTTGGTTTCTGTAAGATGGAGAGAGTTGAGGAGGCTGAACTGCTGAGTGCAGAGATGGAATCCCATGGTTTTTATGTCGATAAGGTTATGTATACTAGTCTTATTAATGGTTACTGTAAGAACAAGAAAATAAAAATGGGGATGAGATTGTTTTATAAAATGCTCAAGATGGGTTGTCAGCCAGATGCTTATACTTACAATACATTGATACAAGGGTTTGTTAATTGCGGATTATTTGATAAAGTGTGGGTTTTACACAAGCATGTGATTGAGTTGGGACTTGAGCCTGATGTGTTGACCTACCAGATTATGATCAATAAATTTTGTAAAGAAAAGAAAGTTGACTGTGCATTGGCAATGCTAAGTAGTATGTGTAGTAGGGGCATAACACCCAATGTCCATTGTTATACACCCATCATCCCTGCACTTTACAAAGAAAACAGGGTTGAAATTGATGAGTTATACCAAAAGATGCTGGATTCTGGAGTGATACCCGATCAAGTTTTGTTTTTTACACTAGTTAAGGAGTACCCAAAAGGGCATGAGCTTCATCTTACACTCAAGATTTTGAGTGCTGTTGCTAAATATGGTTGTGGTATCGACCCTTTAGTTACTACCAAGAACATCGAATACAAAATCGACTATCTTTTAGGTAGAATCATTGAAAGTAAGCCTCATCTTGTTAATCTAGCTTATAGTATTTACATTATTGGATTATGCATGGGAGGAAAAAGTGATGCTGCTTTGCATACTGTGGTTTTCATGGTGAATCTTGGATTTCAGCCTTTGATCTCAGCTTTTAACTCCCTAATCAAGTGTTTCTGTCAAGAAGGATTTGTTGAGCATGTGAATGCCCTCATTGAACTCATGGAAGGCATGGGCATTGTTCCAGATTCCACAACTTATTTGGTGATGGTTAGTGAGCACTGCAAGCGTGGTGACGTGGCATCTTCCTTTGATGTTTTGAGTCAAATGGATGACAAGAGAATGAAGCCTAATGTTGCTATATTTGATTCCATTATCGGTTGTTTGGGTAAAGAGAAGAGAGTTTTGGATGCACATGATATGTTCAGAAAGATGCTGCAAAGTGGTAAAAAACCTGATGATGTTTTGTATGTCAGAATGATAAATGTCTACTCCAAGAATGGACAAGCAGTTGAAGCTAACAGACTTTTTAACCGCATGATAAAACACGGGATACAACCAAGTTCACGTGCTTACTCAGCGATTATAAGTGGATTCATTAAGAAAAATATGGTTGAAAAGGGTGTCATGTATCTTGAAAATATGTTGAAAGATGGTTTTATGCCAAATAAAGTGCTATATACCTCCATTATTGATCAGTTTTTAAGAAAAGGGGAGCTTGAATTTGCATTCAGACTAGTTTCATTAATGGAAAGAGGTCATATAGAGTGTGATGACATCACCTACATCACATTGATCAGTGGCATATCCAGGAATCTTCAATGTTACACGGGCACATGGAATGATTCTCATACAAAGTCTGGAAAAGAAAGGGAAAAGCTCTATCAGTTACTTTGTGAAAAGACATTGTTGCCCATGGAGAAGGATTCAAGGATTTTTATAAGGACCCATGAAGATATGAAGTTATTCGCAACGAAATTAATAAAAGGGATTAAAGATACTTGCGATATGCCTAATTTATACTTATACAACTCCATTTTATCTGGATATTGTCGAATGGGGAAGTTTGAGGAAGCATATGAACAAATTGATATGATGCAAAAACAGGGTGTGGGACCCAATCAGGTAACATTCACCATTCTGATCAATGGACATATTCAGGCAGGTGAAATTGATATTGCTGTTGGGTTGTTTAACAAAATGAATTCTGATGGCTGCATTCCAGATAGAATTGTATATAATATTATGATAAAAGGATTTTGTAAGAACAAGAGACCGATTGATGCGTTATCTCTTTCATATGGAATGTGTAAAAGAGGTTTTGCTCCTAGCAAAATTGCTTATGAGTACATGCTTATTAGTCTTTGTGATTCTCGTTTGGTGAATGAAGCATTGAGTATATTTGAAGATATGATGATGGGGTATAATTATTTACCTTCTCAACATAATGGTGAATGGTTGTTTCGGATTTTAATGGAAGAAAAGAAATGGCATGAAGCTCAAATGGTACGTGACATGATGCTTGATAAAGGAAGAAAGTTACAAAATCCAATGCGGCAAAGAGTTTTAATGAGATCATGAAAGATGTAAGAGTTGATTTCATTTGGTAAAATACACATGGTTATCATGTAAATTGGGAACACATAGATTCTCATATCAAAAGGAGGGATCCCCTTGGGTAATTCTATGAACTTTTGGCTAATTTTTTTAGCTTTGATTTTTATAATGATTTGATGTGATTTAGACGTATCTAACATGAGGTTTTGATGCAGGAAAAAGATTGTAATGAAGTGGGGATTATCTTGATTTGGGCATCAATGTCATTCTGGTTATTAATATGTATATCCCAACTTTGGCTGTGCATCAGGTATGTAAAGTGTCACCTGTTGTTGTTTTTTTACATGTATTCAGTTTTGTAAAATAAAGGTTTGAAAATGATGCCAGATAGTTGCTTGAAAGAAGCAAAGATTCATATTATCATGAGCAAGTGGGCAACGACTCCAGCATATGCACAAATGATCATTTATATGTAAGTTGAAAGTTGATTCACCTCAAAAATCATTTTAATTTTTTTTAATAATTGGTTTGAGATTTTGGGGAAATGTCCGTGTCCAGGTTGGGGAAGAAGCAGGAAGTGGCATCATTTATATGCATATGTTTGTGTTCATAAGTTGGCACATTTTGTAGACAGAAGCAGAAAAGGATATACTATCTTTATTTATTCCAATGTAATATAATCAAATATTGTATACAAATAAATATAAATAATGAAAATATGTAATCACATTCCTGCAGTAAACGACACACCAGTGGCGGGCAACCATTGTCTCCCAGCTATAAGTCCTTCCACGGTGAAGTCGTACGCTTCACTCAAACTCATTTGTGCATGGTATCCGGTCCAGTTCACACGGTTTTCTAAGGCGGCCCCACTACCAAAACAACTGTATTCACCGTAATACAACGTGCTAAAAGCAAATTCAGTATTCCCCCATGGGGACCACCCTTTTGGATTGATAAAACTATCCATATACGTTTTCAAGAAAACCGTTCTAGAATATTCTTGCCATGGCCGACCTAAGTAGGTCTGAACGGAGCCCACCACCGGAATCAGGTCCGGAGATGGAACCACGCGACAGTTGTGGATTGAAATTCCAGTGTTTTGAAACGGATCGCCACGGCCTTGGGCGGTGATCATGTTTGCCTGACCGTTCAAGGGTTTTCTGACTAAGATTACGCAGTTTTGGAAAACAACGGCGGCGTTACCGAATATGAAATCGACAGTGCCGGAGATGTAGCAGAGTTTGTAGAATTGTCTTTGGGAGACAGTGAATAGAGTGTCTTGATATCCTTCGAAGCTACAAGCGTAGAAGACAGAGAGGTCGGAGGCTGATCGGAGTGCCACCGCTTGAGCTCCTTCGGGGCCGGCGGTGTTTCTGAATGTTATGCCACGTGCAAAGAATCCCGACCCATCCACTCCTGAAATATTCCATTTAAATTATAGAAACTTATACAACCATTTATTTTAAAACAATGTTTGATAGTTGTTGATTGAGTCAGATCTAATTGAGGGAAAGTCTAATTGATTTACATAGTCTTGAATCTATCTAACCAAGTAAGAGTCTAATTGAGGGAAAGTCTAATTGATTTACATAGTCTTGAATCTATCTAACCAAGTAAGAGTCGTATCAGAACTCAGAAGAGTTGGGATGGGACCGAGCAGAAGTTTATAAGTTTGATGTCAAATGGTCTTATCTGACTGACTCATACTCATACTCAAACTCAAACTCTTGGTAGGAGACAATCCCCAAATCAACAAATCCAAAACCAAAATTTGATTTTTGGAGTTCATATGCAAATTAATTTTGATACAATAGAAAAATCATTAACGTGCATGTAAAAGAAATACGATGCAGTAATGAAGGGAAGAAGTTATCGTAAGTATCTTCTTGTACGAGTCCACCTTCCACTTTACTTCACTTTTAATATTCGTACGATGAATATAATTAAGAAACATTTTTATCATGTTTATTTATAGAATTCGTAGATCAAGCGTGTCATTAAAATATTAAAATTCTGGATTATCGAAAAAATGTCAACCATTTGCGTAAGTGAAAGTCTTACCGACGGTTGCTGAGCTATAAGTTGTGGAACCTCCGGCGACGCTCCGGTTACCGCTGATAATAGTGTATCTGATTCCATCACCCACAAACATGATGTTATTAAAATCGCTTCCAATCAGAATGTTTTCATTATATACGCCTGATTTTATGTAGATTATAAATCTCTGATTCAGACGCTCAATACTTCCGGCATAATCAAGAGCCGATTGAATGGTGGGAAACCTACTCCCCGCCGCTTTGGACACCGTCACGTTCGCAATTGACTGGATTGTCGCTGTCGTCAGCAGTCTCCGGTCACGGCGTGTTACCCAACCCGGGAAATCATCTGTTTGATCGGAACTCGATTTTTGCTTCAAGAACAAGTGATTTATGGCCAGACTGTTGCTTATCATCTCTGTCAAGTTACTCGACCTGATCGGAGTTACAAAGTCAGTCACGTTCAGTTCAACGCAACCGGTAAAACAAGTCTGGAGGTTTGTCAGGGCGGCGCTCAGCCACGTCTGGGCGTCGAAGTCAGAGCTCCGGTTGTTTTTCAGGCCGATTACCGTTTGGTTGAGTTGGGAAATAGTGTTATTGAGAAGGTGGTAACAGTCGTTCCATACAGCTTTCGTCACGGTGGTTGAACACATCTTCCCGAGGTTTTTTGCACATCCCTGAGCTTCGTTAGCGTTATCGATCGCCGCCTGTAAAACCCGCATTCGAAAATCGGCCCTGTGTTTCGGCGGAGTATGGTGACCCCGACCCCGACCCAGAAAGTAGTTGCATTGGTTAGGATGAGGAGTTGTTTGGCACCACCAGTTTATATCGCCGCCGGTCTCCTCCGTCGCTTGTATAAGCAAACTAAATGAAGAAGATAAGATGAACACGTACAAACAACACGATGAAATGAAGTTAATTGAAGCCATTTTGGACTTGGGTTTTTTTTTTTTTTTTTTTTCGTGTTTTAGATTGAAGTACTCGATCTTGATTGATTATGGATTGAAATGATTAGAAAATGTATGATTGGGTGTTGGTTTTATAATGAAATAAATATATGAAGATACGGATTGAATCGATAAAATGTGTAAGTGAAGTTTAGTGAAATTAAGTAAAACAATGAATGCAGATTAAGGTAGAAAGATCGATGTTTGCTTGCTTGATGAAGATCAATGGATTGATGGGTGTTTTACGCCATTGATTTCGTTATGTTTATTCCAATGCACGGTGGTCGCCGTCGTTTTTATTGTTGAATTTCAAATGCTTTTCTTTTTGACAAAGAAGACAACAACAAAAAAAAAGATTTATTTTTTCTGAGTTAAATCAAACAAATTATAACACTTTCAACTGAACATGAAATTATTTCTGCATGTTGTCATAAGGAGATTTTTCGGTGTATTAAATAAAAAATATATGAAAATATAATGTTATAACTAGGTATATATACAAATTATAAATTCTTAAAAAAAATGAAATTCAAATAATATTATATAAAAATATAAAAGCAAGAATGCAAGATACTATAATACATAAAATATAGATAAGAATACGCTATATGAGTCTTTAATTTACAAGAAATTGTTATTAAAAAATGTTAATACTTTTCAAATTAGAAAATTTAATGTTTTTAGGAACATAAACAATGTTGTGTTTTAGATATCACGTGGCCGATCTTGGAAAAATGAAGCAATTAATAATGTTGCTTGATGTACGATACTATCGTGTGTTAGTGTTAATAAATCCTCTAATCAATCTTTAATCATTTATATTGCAAGCAACCATCAACCATGTATGCCTCATATCAGTTTTTATGTTTATGTCGAGTGAAATATTACATATAAAACATTAAGGGTGCGTTTGGTTGTGAAAAATTGTTTTCATTTTCTAAGAAAATGTTTTCAGAAAATAGAGTTGAGTTTTCGCTTTCAATTTTCAATGAAAATTTTGAAAACGCGTTTGGTTGAAACCGGGGGAGTTTTCATTTTCCATCTTAGAAATTTGGAAAACTGTAAAAATCATTTTTCTAATTTACATACAATTTGGAAAACTGAAAATTTTCATTTTCTTGGAAAATTTTGGAAAACTGAACGAACCAAACGCGTTTTCAAAATTTATATATTTGAGATTTTATGATCCTAATTAAATATAATTGTTTCATCGATTTTTGAATAAGTTGAATCTTGGTTTCAAGGTATGTATAGCTTTTGTTACTTCTAGAAAGATCCTATTCATACTTCATACTAATCTTCAAAAAGTATGTGGTGATTTTTTTCATTCTTTATTTTCACATGTTTGATATTATTGCTTAGGATATTAAAAAAAACAAATTCTGTTTTACTTTCTAATCTATTTATATAATAAACTAATTTTTATTATGTTTGTCATGATATGAGTTATGACTGATATCCGATTTGTTTAGGCCAAAGGGTATGGATGAGTTTTTCACGCGTGACAGCTGCCGTGGAGGGGGTATTTATGCGTGAACACCGCCCCCCTCTATAGTGAGTGTGACACGGATTGAAGCCATTCACAGACGATTACGAGCAATTTTATTGGCTGAATTTTTCTCCCCAATCATTCCTCCCGTTTCTCTCTATCTCTCTCTTCCTTTTCTCCTTGTTCACTAGTGAACACCATCCCCATTGGCCTTATCGGTTTAAGTTGTTAAAATACATTAGGCCTTCGGGTATGGAGGGGATTTCTACGCGTGAAATCCGAGCTAGCGCATTGAGTACGCGTGACCACCGTCCCCAAGCCTGGTAGTCTTGTTGTGGAGTGAAGCTATTCATGGATGATCACGGAGGCTGTGATTGGTTGAAGGATCGAAGCCATCTGTTTCTCCTCTACCTTCCTTGTTCTCCTCTGCCTTCTTTCCATATTTCATCCTCACAATCAACTCTATTCTCTCGCCTCTTGTCTCTCTGTTGTGAAAAGTGATGGAAAGAACGAATATGGGATGGACCCGTCGGTGATGATGAACGGAGGTGATTTCCGATCAAGTAACGTCGCGTCATTTTGTAATATGGATTTGGAACCGACTGGTATTCCTGAATCAATTTATTCAGGAGGCACGTCTTTTCTTATCGTTGTTTTATCTGATGTCTTTTGCTATTGCTTAGGTTGGAAATATGTGAGGGATTGTAATAGTGAGATAGTAGATGCTTGATGCAATGCATATAAACTGTTTGATGAAATGCATCAATGAGATGTTTTGTCGGATAAAGTTTCCGGCATATAAACCGTTTGACGAAATATCAATGAAATGTTTTGTTGGATAAAGTATTTGATGTGCTGATAATGTGCTGAAGAAACTCATAGAAAGCCGTAGAGATTTTCCAAAGGATTAAACTAAAATCCTTGGAAACATTGAAGCTCATGACGTATGAGATATTTGGTTGTTTAAAACTTCTCTATCAGTATAGATTAACCATGAACTTTTTAAAATTATGTTTTTTATTTACTTTAATGTAAATGTAAAAAAATTATGTTTTTTACATTTACTTTAAAAAAAAATGTAAATGTATTACATAACTTTCACATGACG